TTACAAACTGTATGGCTGTGGCAGGCTTCTTGCTAACTGTTCTTATAGCTTAAATTAATCCATTTCCATAAATCTATACCTTGCCACGTGGCTCATGGCTTACCGGCATCTTCACATGCTGCTTGTCCTGGCAGCAGCTGGCAGACTCTCCTCCCATCTTCCTATTTTCTCAATTCTCCTCTCTGTTAGTCCCGCCTATACTTCCTGCCTGGCCACTGGCCAATCAGTGTTTTATTTATTGACCAATCAGAGCAAAAGATTTGACATACAGACCATCCCATAGCAGAAGGGAGGAGACAGGCAATAAGAACATGAGCTGGGGAAGGGATGGAATGGGAGAGCAATGAAAGAGATATCTTGATAGAGGGAGCCATTTTAGGGTTAGGGAGAAACCTGGTGCTAGGGAAATTCCCAGGATTCTACAAGGATAACCCCAGATTAGACTACTAGCAATAGTGGAGAGGGTGCCTGAACTGGCCTACCCTGGTAATCAGATTGATGAATACCTAACTGTCATCATACAGCCTTCATCCAGTAACTGATGGAAGCAGATGCACAGCCAAGCACCAGGCCAAGCTCCAGGAGTCCAGTTGAAGAAAGGGAGGAGGGATTACATGAGCGAGGGAGGTCAAGATCATGATGGGAAAATCTACAGAGACGACTGAACCAAGCTTGTGGGAACTCATGAACTTTAGACTGACAGCTGTTGAGCCTGCAATGGGACTGGACCAGGCCCTCTGCATACGGGAGACAGTTGTATAGCTTGGTCTGTTTGAGGGGCCCCTGGCAGTGGGACCAGGACCTATCCCTGGTGTATAAACTGATTTTTTTGGAGCCCATTCTTTATGGTAGGATGCCTTGCTCAGCCTAGATGCAGTGGGAAGGGGCTTGGTCCTACCTCAACTAAATGTACCAGGCTTTGTTGACTCCCCATGGGAGGCCTTACCCTTTTGAGGAGTGGATTGGGGGTGGGGCAGAGTGGGGTGTGGTGGAGGAGGGATTGGAGGGGGAACTGTGGTTGGTATGTAAAATTAATAAAGAATTTAAAAAAAAAAGAATACAAGTGAAAACATGAAGAAGAAAAAAAAAGAGTGGTTTGTTTGACCAGTGAGACTCCCTTGGAAAAAACTAGAATTAATTTTTCATTTGCTAGTAGCTATCATTGGAGATAACTTCTGGGCTAGGGATGAGGGTATGTGTCCATTTCTCCTTTCAGTTCTAGAACTATATCTAGTGGAGATCTGTTCAGGTCCTGTGCATGCTGCCTCAGTCCCTGCCTGTTCATATGTACATCAGTCCTTCTGGGAATAGAAGATCTTGCTTTCTTAGTGTCCTCCATCACCTCTGCTGAGTGTTCCAAGGTCTCTCACTCTCTGCATAGTGTCTGACTGTGGGTCTATGTATTTGTTTCCATCTGCTATAGGAAGAAGCTTCTCTGATAATAGCTGAACCAGGCACAGATCTATGAGTATAGCAGAATGTTGTTAGGAGTCATTTCATTGCAATATTCCTTTAGCAGAACAGTACTATTTGGTCTCTAGACTATCTAGTCTCAGATTCTTGGCCACCCAAGCAACATTATGTATGGGTTCCATCTCTTGGAGTGGGCCTTAACTCAAATCAGATATTGGCTGGTTACTCCTTCAAGCGTTGTGCCAATATTGCACCTGCATATCTTGCAGGTAGGTCACACTTGTAGATTGAAGGGTTTGTAGATGGGTTGGTGTTTACCTCTCTCCTTTGGTAGTATGCAGAGTACCTTCCGGTACATGAACGCTAGTCAGTAGGTGTGAAGGCTCTAGGTGGGCACCAGCTTCTTCATGAGTAGTGTAGGTGCTATCTTTAGCAATAGGGCCTTACAGTCAGTTTGTAGAGAGCCTTGGCAATAGCCTAAAATCAGAATGACTCATAACTAAAGGTAATCTTCTTGCTTCTTCCTTCTGAGTGTTGGAATTAATTAATTGCAAACCATCATCCCCAGCTGGCAAAAGTTTGGGTTTTTGTTTGCTTGTCTGAGAGAAGGTCTCAGGCATTCTAGACTGTCCTCAATTCACTATGTAGCTGACAGTGACTCTGGACTTTCAGTCCTTCTGTTTCTATTTCCATTACATCTGTGAGCCACCATTTCTGACTCCTACTAGTTTGTTCTTCTAACAGTATTTCTCTATGACATCTCTCCCTATGACTTCATTTACAATAGAGCTTTAATTCTGTAAAGTCTTTACTGACATATTTTCCTTTATGTCTTTGTACTTTTCCATCCTTAAAGGTCTTTATGCACATTCAAAATGAAAAATACTGCATTTTAGACCTGGGATTGAGCTGATCAGTGATGCACACCTTTAATTCCAGTGCTCGGGAGGCAGAGGCAGTCCAATCTCGGAGTTTGAGGCCAGCCTGATCACCGAGGGAGTTCCATGACAGCCAAGACTATACAGAGAAACCCTGTCCCACAAAAAAAAAAAAAACAAAACAAAACAAACAAAAAGTTCAAAAAAACAAAACAAAACAAACAAACACCTGGAGTTGAAAGTATAAACAACAGTGGCTCTGTGGTGCTCACCTCTGTAGAGACGACTCCCATATTTCCACTCTTCTTTAGTTTGTTATTTATATTTCTCCATGCAAAGCTCCCTCTCTTCTTAGCTACCATTTTTCTCTATGCATGATGCTCTGATCTTGCTGTAAATGCAATACAAAGATTAACCCTGTAAATTCTGTTCTCAAATACCTGATTTCTTCCTCCCATCCTTTTATCACTGTACTCTTTTGTCTACACCATTAACTTGTTTTTGAAATAGCTTAATAACTAGTGTTTTTGTCTCTTCCTATTCCATTCCATTCCATCTCACAGGTCAAACCAGACTAATCTTTTTAAACATTATTTTTTTTATGGTAGTAGTGAAAGACCCCCGCTCCATTATGAGGACATGGGGCTTTGGGCCAATAAAATGCGCCCCCCCCCCTATAACTTAGCCTAAGAAACGCCATTCTAAAGGAATCAGAAAAACAGGAGTTCACAGCCATAGCCAGCCACCCGGCTGAGATAGCTATGGCCAGCCTTGAGAGAGATAACTGTGGTCGGCGGCCTTGAAAGAAAGACAGTTAAGTCAAATCAGGATATTTTATGGCTGGCCCCCTGGCCTTGAAGAATAAGCAGCTGGCCTGGACAAGGCCAAATCAGCCACACACATACGACCCCAAGTTCACCCTGGCCTTCTTTGAAACAACCAATAGGGACCCTGTAACTATGCTTCTCGCTTCTGTAACCGCGCCTCTGCCCCTGGGATCCCATAAAAAGTCCCCCTTGCCCTAGGAAAGCGCGCAAGTCCTCCAAGAGACTTCGCCCCAGGTACCTGGTCTAAATAAACCCTCTTGCTTTTGCATCTGATCTGTGGTTTCAGTGTGTTCCTTGGGTTTGGGGTCTCTCCCGGAGGAAGATCTCAGCCAGGGGTCTTTCAGTAGTGACTCACACACGTTTAATCCTAGCAACATCTTTTTCTCCACATTCCATATTATATTACCACAGAATCTGTAGAAATGACCCATTACTGGAATATCAAATTTAGCACTTGCTCTGTTGATCTGCATCACACAACTCTAAGAAGCATAAATGTTATATGAAAAAGAATCTCTCTCTATATATGTATATATTCAGAAACAAGATTTGGATGTGACAACTCTGGAAATAATTTTTGCTAAGTTGCTTTTTCAGACTGATTAACTAAGGCCCAAATAAATTTAGACAGTATATTAAACCTTTTAAACAAATAGTAAACTAACACTTCATAAATATGATACATCTGAACCAAGTTTCATTTATTTTGAAGAAAAAAATTTACTCTGTATATCCAAGATTAAACTTAATAGCAGTGATAATCAAGAATCTACACTTCCTAGCAAGCACCTTGGAGAAAATGTTGAATGAAAACATTACTCAAGGCTGGTGTTTAAGCTCAGCTCTAATAATGTGGGTAGGAGAAGGTAACTGACAGTGATTGTCTCCTGGAACCAAATACTTTAAAAAAATATTGGAAACATCCCATCTGCCAATCTATCAACGAAGAATGCTATGAACTAAACTGCATGGATTCAAGTGGCTTAAGCCCTTTTAAAAATTATAACATTCTACTATTCATTAATGTGACAGTATATGAGTTTTTCTTTTTCGTTTTAATGGTTTTTTGAGACAGGGTTTCTCTGTTTAACAGTCCCAGCTGTCCTGGAACTTTGTAGACCAGGCTAGCCTTAAACTCCCAGAGGTATGCCTGCCTCTGCCTCCTGAGTGCTGGGGTTAAAGGCGTGTGTCACCATAACACATTTCTGTGATGAATCTGACACTAATTATTAATAACTGTTGTACCCAGAGTCCCCTAAAGACCACCAAGAGACCGAATCCGATGCAAAAGCCAAGAGTCTTTTTTAGTTTTTTGAGAGAAGATTTCTCTGTGTAGTTTTTGTTTTTGTTTTTGTAGACAAGGTTTCTCTGTGTAGCTTTGCTCCTTTCCTGGATCTTGCTCTGTAGACCAGGCTGGCCTTGAACTCACAACGATCCACCACCACCGCCCGGCTTTCTTTATGTAGTTTTGGTGCCTGTCCTAGATCTCGTTCTGTAGACCAGGCTGGCCTCGAACTCCCAGAGATCAGCATGCCTCTGCCTTCCGAGTGCTGGGATTAAAGGCGAGCGCCACCACCGCCTGGCCTTTTATTGTGAGTTAACCCGGGTTTCTTGTCAGTCTGACACAGCAGGTGAGCAGGTGAGACCCTGAGTAGCAATCAAGCAACATTTTTATAATAGTTAGGGTAGGGGATCTGGGAGAATCCAACTTTACATAGTTACAAGCTCAGGATTGGTGCTTACCTTAGGTTAGAGATGCTTGGTTTGAACTGATTGGAGAGTTGCAGCTTCAAGGGAATTGCCTTATCTTTTAGCAGTCAATATCATCAGCAGACCCATTTCTCTGACAATAAGACATCCCATTTCTTATCTGGAGTAAACTTGCTCCCTTTGATACCCATAGTATATAATCTATCATATCCTTTAGTTTATGGCAGGAAATGTCTGGAACTCGTTTTTTTATGTGGCTCTTGATTGTCTAGGGGCAGCACATCCTCTGGTGGGTCTCCCAGGGCCTGCTGCCTCCATTCTGACTTTCTCTAGCTGCAACCCTGGCATCCTCTCAATAACCACCCTGGAAAGAAGCAAAAGTCCCAGTTGCTTGAGATAATGCAATTTTGTTTCTCTATTCCCTCCAAAAGTCAGTATGCTGTAGCGCATGGTATGCCAAACATTTCTACTATAATGGATCTGACTGCTGGCTTTAATCTTAGCCATTTGTGCTCCTGAGGAGAGCCACTTTCAATATTTCATTTCTTTCTCAAACGAGAACAGGGAGCTCTGATCTGAACGCTGTTAGCTAGTCATAAAAGCCTTTCCTCCAATCACACACACACACAGGGATACACTTTCCCCATGTCCCATTCAGTCCCCGGTCGGCTTGCACTCAGTGCCCTAATTCCGAGAGCTAAGGAAATAGGAAAAGGAAGTTCTTCAGTAATGACCAGGGTTCCTCTGCCACGTGGCCCTCCGCCGGCTCTTCTGCCATACAGCCCTCCACAGAACAAGCGAGCTCCCCTAGGGCCTGACAGAGGAAACGCCGCATCGACTCGTAGGACCGCGCGGCGACAGGCGGAAGCTGCGGGCTGAGGACCCGCGGTTCCCGCCCGCCTCGGAGGGGGAGGGCGGAGAGTACACACGGAAATCCGTAGGGAGGGAGGGTGGAACCTGGGGAGAAAGACTTCCGGTGGCGCAAAGCGTGTTGGGATCAGTTTGCGGCAAACCTCCTTCCCGGCCTGTGGCGAGACCACCGTTAGCGCCGCTCCAGCTTCTGCAGCCTGCTCTCGCTCGGGCGGCCGCGGCTCCTGCCGCGCGCTCCGGCTGTTTTCAGCCCCGTCCGCTTCCGTTCCCGGGCAGCCGGCGTGCGTTCCGCAGCGGCCGCGGCAGACATGTTGTGAGGCGGCGGCGGCGGCGGCGCGGGTGCCCGAAGGATGGTTTGGCCGAGGCGGCGGCAACCGCTGCTGGTGGCGGCGGCCGCGGGGGCTCCGGCTCTGTAGAGCCGGGCCTGCTGGGTGTCCGCCCGGTTCTGCGGCCGGGCGGGGACTGCTGGGTCTTGCGAGCCGTTTAGGTCCGGTTAGACGACAGCGACCGTCCGTCTGAGGCTACGGAGGGAGGTTCTCCAGCCCCTCGGGCGTCCAGCCGTGGGAGTGGTGCCCCGGGCCCTCGGCACCCTGACCTTCCCTTCACTCGCACTAGAATTTCCCACACAGTGGGTATCCTTGGCCCTCGAACCCGCTCCTTCCTCGTTTCTACACCCTCTTAGTTCTGAGCTTCCCCGACCCGGTCATCCCTGTCCGAGGGCAGCCTTTTGAGAAATCTCCGTGGAGTGGTGGTGGACCAGAGTCGAGAGTTTAAAAGTTGGGGCTTGAAAGACAGGAAGGTACGATGGCTTCCTCGTCTGGCAACGATGATGATCTCACTATTCCCAGAGCTGCTATAAATAAGATGATCAAAGAGACTCTCCCTAACGTCCGGGTGGCCAACGATGCCCGAGAGCTGGTAGTGAACTGCTGCACTGAATTCATTCACCTTATATCTTCTGAAGCCAATGAGATTTGCAACAAGTCGGAAAAGAAGACAATTTCACCAGAGCATGTCATACAAGGTAAGTCAGTTGTGTGGGACTTTGCTTAAATGAAAGTCCAGGGGAACGGTCTTACCAAAAGCATAACCACTTAGTGTCACAGAGTCCTTATTCCATCTCCCTACTAAGTAGTGCTAATGAAAAAGTCACAAGGGGGCTGGAGAGATGGCTCTGGTTAAGAGCACTGGCTGTTCTTCCAGAGGACCTGGGTTCAATTCCTAGCACCCACATGGCAGCTCACAACTGTCTGTAACTCCAAGATCTAACACCCTCACACAGACGTACATACAGGCAAAACACCAATGCATACAAAATAAAAATAAGTAAATTATAAAAAAGAAAAAGTCACAAAGGCATAGGAGACAATTCATACTTTAAGAAAATACCTCAGTAGCATTCTTTGGACATTTTTCATCCAGCTAATGCAAATAAGGAAAGCAAACATTAGGCTCAACAAACATCCTTTACTAGTATGGTTTGCAGTCAGGTCTTAAAGCAACAAGAATTGACAACCGAGAAAGTAGCCTAAAAGTTCTCTCTTGGAAAGTTAAATTTTAGACAGAACTTCAAGCATGAGTTGAGTCAGAGTGTACCTCATCCTCACCTGACCCTTTCTACCAGTGTAGAGGAAAAGATTAATTTTGAACACACGAATAGAAAAAACTTTGGGCTGTGGATGTAGTTCAGTGGTGCATCATTTACCTAGCATGCATATAGGTCATGGGTCTGATTACCAGCACTGAATTAAAAAAAAAAAGTATTAACATGAGTGTGTCCAATATTTTAAAGTTTATTGCTTTCCAAAAAGGGAGTCTATTTTTGCTTTTAAAAATGATAAAGTGCTAAAACAATCATCACCGGGTTCCCAAAGCACTCTTGTAAGAAAATGCCAAGTGCCACATTTTTCTTTTTGACTCCAACTTTTGATTGTTTTGTTCTTTGAAAAGGTTAAAAGCTTGTACAAGTTATGCAAAAGGTGACACCAACACCCACCCCCCTACCCTACCCCACAAGTACTGGGCCTTGCTTAAACCTAGGGCCTGACACATGCTAGCAAGTACTCTCTGTCCTTTCTCTGTGCTTTTCCCATTAGGATGTGTATGTATACTTAAGGTTTTATTGAAAAGCACTTCTAAAAGTTTCAACAATTTCTTCCTTATCTTGGAAAAGATTTGCAGTGGGAATTTGGGAGACTTTATGGTTGCAGGGAAGGAAGACAAAAGTACTTTTGGCATTTTAGGAGAAATACTTTCTGTGACTTTTCATGAACTCTTAAGAGAAAGTTGCATTCAGTTTGAGGCAATAACTTCTATTTTGTAGAAGTTAAACACATTTAATCATACCATGTATGATTGCCTTTTTATAATTTAACTTTAAAAATTTTACTTTTCAGCTAGGCGGTGGTGGCACACGCCTTTAATCCCAGCACTCGGGAGGCAGAGGCAGGTGGAACTCATCTCTGTGAGTTCAAGGCCAGCCTGGGCTACAGAGTGAGTTCCAGGACAGGGTCCAAAGCTACACAGAGAAACCATGTCTCGAAAAACCAAAGAAAAAAATTTTTTTTTTTTTTTTTTTACTTTTCTGTTAAGGTCAAATGGAGAACACATCTGTTCAGATTGGCCATATCCATTTTCCACTGTCAGGATTGACAAAAGATCGAGTGATTCATTTTTGAGCTTTTATCCTGTGCTGAAGGTAGTTTTAAAGTACACCCTGCTGTACTAAGGGTGTCTCTTAAGGCTGAGTATTTAGCATGCCAGAAGTCAATCCCAGTAGAGAGTAGAGCCATGGTATCTCTCTCTCTCTCTCTCTCTCTCTCTCTCTCTCTTCTCTCTCTCTCTCTCTCTCTCTCTCTCTCTCTCTCTCTCTCTCTCTCTCTCTCTGTCACACACACACACACACACAATGTATATAAATAATTATGTTACATACATAATGTGCTCTGCTATTTCAATACATAGTAGACAACCCCTAAGAATAAAGCAACGTTTGTTTGTTTGTTTGTTTGTTTGTTTGTTTGTTTTCAGGGTTAGGAGAAGCAGGACGCTAACAGGATCTTACTGTGTAGCCCAGCCTGGTCCTCTTCCCTCAGTCTCTTGAATACTGGGATTATGGGCATTCTCTAATCCCCATTCCCTGCTGTTTGTTTGGTTCTTTTTTGTGTGTGTTAAACTTAGGGCCTTCTATGTGCTAGGCAAGCTTGTACGATAAGCTTGTACGATGTCTTGTATTCCCAGACATCTACTTGGTTCTTGTCGCTGGTTCTTTTTTTTTTTTTTTTTCCTATTGGTTTGGTTTTGCTGAGTATTAAGAAAAATGGAAGCCGGTTGTCTGTTTTCATTTTTATGTTGTGTATTTGATTGTTGTCCTAAGTCTTTGAGAAGATTTTCTAACAAATAGCTAAAATTCCCTTTGACTCTTCTTAAAGGAAAAGAAAAACCACTTTTGTCAAGCGTCAGCACTTTAATGAAAACTGTAGAGGATTTCAGTAGGATCTGCCTTAAACATTTGTTTGTACCACAAAAGTGATGATTGTTCCAAAAATCTAATAACACACTGTCTTGGGGGAAGGGTCATTTTTTTTTCTCTAGGATATATTTAGAGTTCTGATTGACATGATGATTGAATAAAAATGCAGCTATAGCAGCAATATGCTAAATAGTTCAATTTTGGAATATGCTAACTTCAGTTCAATGCATGACTCAGAAAGTTACAATGAAAGACTGTTTTCTGTGATGATGGCAATCTGCTGATGTTAAAAAACTGAATTGACCTGTTGGCACTCATAAATTTACCTTTTTCTTGTAATGTTGCCATTAAGTGTATAAGAGGGGCTGGAGAGATGGCTCAGCGGTTAAGAGCACTGACTTGCTCTTCCAGAGGATCTGAGTTCAATTCCCAGCACCCACATGGTGGCTTACAACTGTCTATAACTCTAGTTCTAGGGAACCCCACACCCTGACACCCTCACACAGACATACATGCGGGTAAAACACCAAAGCAACCAGATGGTGGTGGCTTACGTCTTGAGGCAGGCAGATCTCTGTGAAGTCAGCCTGATCTACAGAGTCCTAGGCCAGCCAGGACTACACAAAGAAGCCCTATCTCAAAAAAAAAGTAAATAAGAATATCTATAGTTTTGGTCCAATTAGTGTAATTTTTTTTTTTTTTTTTTTTTTTTTTT